GAAAAAAAATAAATAAAGTTATATTATAAAATAAACAAATTTTATAAAATATATCATATTATTTAAATTATTGTTTTATTGTATAAAATATAGTTTATTTACAAATAATAAATACAAACCAATAATATACTTTTGCACAAATTTGTATTATATATAAGTTAACAATAATTATGTATATCTAAAAGTTATCAACAAATTAACTTAATTTTATCAAAAAAGTAATTTATGATAAATTGTTAATATAATTTATTATAAAAATTATAATTAAGTTTGTATATTGTTATTATATGTCAATTCGTTATCAAAACATATTATATGTTAATTATAATATTTATATAAACGTTTCCTTCTTTTTTTGAAAATAATAACATTAATTTTGCTTGTATATTATTATTGCAATACATTATTATTTTAACAGTTTTTTACCATTGTTTAATTTTTTACCTTATTACTTATAAGAATATTAGTTTTTCGTTTAATATTTGATTAATGTATGATGTTTCAATAAAGAATAAATTAGAAAATTTGACACTGAAAAAAATCAATAAATTTTTTTAACAAATAATTAAGATAAAAAATGTTGAATTATTATATATTAACTAAGAAATAATATTTAAAAAATATAAAATATTACTTAAGTTATAAATTGAAGTTAATAACAATTATTAACATCAATTAATAAAATATTATTTATAATGTTAATATTTTCTTTCAACTGAACATTGTTATAAAAAAGATATGATTGTTTGATACTGTATCCTCGAAATGTAAAATTATTTCTACATTATTTTGTCAAGTTTTTTGGTTGAATAATAATTCGAGTTTTGATTAATTATTAAATAGTTTAATATTTCGCAAATATTAATAATATAACAATAAAACATTGTTTATTATATCGCTGAAAGTGAGTTTCGATTATCAAATACATTAATATACATTAAAAACTATTTTATCTGTTTTATACAAATTTTAAAACAAAATTCATTGGATTTTTCATCAAACTAATAAACATTCTATAAACATTTCATTGTAATATTTCGTTTATAAACAAAAAGATGTTTTATAGTAAAAATTAACAAACAAAAATTATTGGATTAAAAAAATTATCAGTCAATTTTAATAAAACAACTTGATTAAGTCAAAACAATTGAAAAAATACAAAACATGAAATATAAAAGAAAAACTTTAATAACACATATAACAGAGCACATTAATTGTTACTTAATGTGCTACCGTTACGGTTGTTGGAAAAATAGTGGCGCTTTTGTGGAATTAAGAAAGCTGATGTTAAGATTATATTGTAAAGATGTCAACGATTGTTAACACGCCGAATGAAGAAAATGACAATTCGAAAGAGAAAATCCGTAAATTAAAAAATAAGAAAAAGGAACTCAAATTATCAGAAGATGTCAAAGCTCAAATTGAAAAATTTTAATTTAACAAAGTCATTTAAACAAAACTCTACTATATTTCTATCAAGTAAAAATAGTTGTATCTTACTCGACAAATTAGAAAGTGAGTTACTTGCTCAAAATTTGTGGACATCCATTTGAAAGTAAGTACCAAACACGTGTTTGCCAATATAACGAATAACAAAAGTGAAGAAGTTTTAAAATGGCGAAAAGATAATCAGAGCTGAAAACGTTTAAATGTATCTTTTTGTATGAGAAAGACATGTAAACTGAATAATCAAAATTGAATTGAGACAG